GCTCTGGGACATCTGGAAAAGGGAGAATCAAGGTCAGGTGCATTGTGGGTCAGGGAGCAGGAAGTTAAGGAAGGAGATCTTCAGTTGAAGTGGGCAAAGAATGGGGATCTGTGAAGTACTCAGGTTCTTTGTAAGGTACTAATATTACAGTGTAGAAAAAGCTCATGGGAAGACTGAATTGCCTAGTGGGGAAATTCCTGAGACCTGGAGGGGTCTGTAAGATCTATGTTTGGTTTTAGGTTTCTGGTGGCTTGCTTTAGAAATGGTTAGTTTTCTGTGGCCCCACCCCCAACCCCAAGTCCTGGAAGCTCTTGAGGCCTCCGCCTCTGCTCAATCCTCAAGCCCTGGGCGTGGTGCCCAGAATAGGGTGCCAGGGCTGGGGAAGCCGCTGAGTCACCCTGGCTCCACCTACTGGATCTGGGCCCTGCCCCCAGAGATCAGGCCGAGTAGCCACAAGTAAGCTGTATGGGTGCTAGAAGGGGGTCCTGGGCTCCAGAGTGTGCAGTCACAGAATTGGGCTTGTTGGTGGGGCAGGGATGAAGGAGAGAGGGAGGAGCATTGTGATGTACAGAGCTGCTCTGTGAAGTCAAGGGTCTCTTAGGGGTGGGACCAGGGCAGCCGGATGGGTTAACAGTAGAACTCATGGGGTTTCTGATACCCACCCATCTGCTTCCCAGTCTGGGGGTGGAGGGTTGGCCTGGAGTCTTAGGTGTGGGGCAGGGTGGAGAGGCGGGCTCCTCCTGCTTTCCACTCAAGCTGTAGCTTTTCTTTCCCCAGATCAGAATTCGAGATCCAAACCAAGGAGGGAAGGATATCACAGAGGAAATTATGTCTGGGGCCCGGACCGCCTCCACACCCACTCCTCCCCAGGTATGGTCTGCTGTTTGAGTAATGCCATGGCTGGGATGGCTATTCTGCCCTGGACTCCCAAGTTCTTTGGTCTTTTCCTTTAACTAAGGGATTCGTTTCCCTGCTTTCCTGGATTTCTAGGCAGAGCTAAAGTAGAAATGGCTCTAGTAAAGAAGGGTTGTGGGACTCTTCAGGGCAAAGTTGGTAACCCTTTGTGTCCTGCAGACGGGAGTCGGTCTGGAGCCTCAAGCTAATGGGGAGACTCCCCAGGTTGCTGTTGTTGTCCGGCCAGGTATGCAAGCATGTGGGACAGAGCTTTTACAGGGAAAAGGAGTGGTGATTTAAAATGCTAAGGAGGTAGGGTGACTTGAGGGTGTCAGAGAAGAATGACTTAGATTTAAGGTAGTGGGATTTTGAGTGTGGATGGGATTTTGAGTGAAAAAGGAAAAGGCTTAGGTGGGAGAAGATTGGGTGGAGGTGTTAGGTTGGGAATGCTTTGGCTGGGAGGTGGAGGAGGAAGAACAACAGTGAAGGACTTGCCTCTAATTACTCTTCCTTCCTGTGGTGCAGATGACCGGTCACAGGGAGCAGTCATTGGGGCCCGGCCGGGGCTGCCTGGCGCAGAGCATAGCCCTTCAGAATCCCAGCCTTCCTCACCTTCTCCGACCCCGTCACCGCCTCCAATCTTGGAACCAGGATCTGAGCCTAATCTTGCAGTCCTCTCTATTCCTGGGGACACTCTGACAACGGGGATGATAGAAGTGTCTGTAGAAGACTCAGCCCCTATGCCCTGTGAAACTGGGGAGCCATATTGCATCTCTTCAGAACCCACTCCCCTCGCGGAACCCATACTGGAAGTAGAAGTGACACTTAGCAAACCAATTCCAGAATCTGAGTTCTCTTCTAGTTCCCTCCAGGTTTCTATCCCCCCGGCATCTCCCAAGGTGGAAATTCTTCCTGAGCCTAATGGCACGGTCCCACCTGAGGATCTAGAACCAGAGTTGGAGTTGAACCCAGAGCTTGCCCCTCTCCCCCCTGTTTGTTCCTCTGATTCCCCCACGCCCATTGCTCCAACTGCCCAACCTGAGGAACTGCTCAATGGAGCCCCCTCGCCACCAGCTGTGGACCTAAGCCCAGTCACTGAGCCAAAGGAACAGTCTGAAGAGGTTACAGCACCAGTGGCTCCCCCCATCATCCTCGCTGCTGCTCCAGCTGTGGCTTTTCCAGTGACTTCCCCTGCTCCAGAGGAGGAAATGGAGGAAGAGGAGGAGGAGGAGGAAGGAGAAGCAGGAGAAGCTGAGGGTGACAAGGGAGAAGAGGAACTGCTCCCACCAGAGAGCATCTCTGTTCCTGTCCACCTGTCCCAGAATTTGGAGGTGGCAGCAGCCACCCCAGGTAAGGTGTGGCTGGATGGTGGAGGTGGGTTGGGCTGGGCTGGAGGGTGGAGTTCTCTCTGTTTATTGATGATCTCCCATTTATGCCCTAATGTCTGGGTCAGAAGCCCTGTAATGGCTTACTTAAGAGATTAAGTAAGCTAGATTAAGAGCTAGATTAAACTCCTAAATCTTAAGAGCTGGAGTAGGGAATTTTAAGTCTGGAGAGGCTGTGAAGAAAGAGGAAGTGGTACACAGTGGCTGCTTTTCTTCCCAGGGGTTAGGAGCACTTTTTTAAGTTATCCCCACTCTGTTTTTTCCCTAAATAGTGGCAGTATCTGTGCCAAAGAGGAGACGGAAAATTAAGGAGCTCAATAAGAAGGAAGCTGTAGGAGACCTTCTAGACGCTTTCAAGGAGGTAAAGAGCATGTAGTAGCATGGGGCAGAGTTTGAGTGTGGACCAATGTTTAAGCTGCAACCAAATGGATGCCCTGTGGTTACAGGTGAACCCAGGAGTACCAGAGGTGGAAAATCAGTCTCCTGTAGGCAACAACCCTGGCCCAGAGCCTGAGGGCAGCAGTGTGCCCTCACGACCTGAGGAAGCAGATGAGACTTGGGACTCAAAGGAAGACAAAATCCACAATGCTGAGAACATTCAACCCGGGGAACAGAAGTATGAGTACAAGTCAGGTATGCAGGAAGGAGGGTTGAGAGGGCTGCACTCTTGTCGGGGTCCCAAGAGACAATAGTATGGTTGGTTCACCCTGTCTTCCTTGCAGATCAGTGGAAGCCTCTAAACCTTGAGGAGAAAAAACGTTATGACCGTGAGTTCCTGCTTGGCTTTCAGTTCATCTTTGCCAGTATGCAGAAGCCAGAGGGACTGCCCCATATCAGTGACGTGGTGTTGGATAAGGTTGGTGGGCCTGAGGGGAGACCGAGTTTGTGCTGATGGGTGGCTGGGGAGGAGCCTGAGGTCCTGAAAGAGCAGTCAGTAGCCCTGGCCTGTTTCCGATACATTTTCTGTCCTCTTCACAGGCCAATAAAACACCACTTCGGCCACTGGATCCTGCTAGACTTCAGGGCATAAATTGTGGCCCAGACTTCACGCCGTCCTTTGCCAACCTTGGCCGACCAACCCTCAGCAACCGTGGGCCCCCAAGGGGTGGGCCAGGTGGGGAGCTGCCCCGAGGGCCGGTGAGTGGGACTCGGTGGAGGGGGAGATGGGCTAGGGGAGTGCGACCCTTTGTGTCTCATGGGAAGTGAGAAGTCTGCCTTAGAGATATGTGGTGGTGTCTCAGGTTGTGCTCACTGTTGTATCTTTTCTTTAACCCTTGCTTAGCAGGCTGGTCTGGGACCCAGGCGCTCTCAGCAGGGCCTCCGAAAGGAGCCACGTAAGATCATTGCCACAGTGTTAATGACCGAAGATATAAAACTGAACAAAGCAGAGAAGGCCTGGAAACCCAGCAGCAAACGGACAGAAAAGGACCGGGGGGAAGAGGATGCTGATGGCAACAAAACCCAGGTACTGGCTGGACCTGCTTTTGGTCTCCATTCCTTCTCTTCAGGGTCTGCTGAGCTGCTGGCTGTGCCTTTTTGCTTCTGTCCATCCCCATCAGTATCCTCTTCCATTCTTCTTGCTCTCTTCATCCTTCTCGGTGGCCCCTCTTCTTCTGAGAACCTCACTGGATCCTGTGTCTTCTCTGCTCCCTCTCCCCACTAGGACCTGTTCCGCAGGGTACGCGCCATTCTGAATAAGCTGACACCCCAGATGTTCCAGCAGCTGATGAAGCAGGTGACGCAGCTGGCCATCGACACTGAGGAACGCCTGAAAGGGGTCATTGACCTCATCTTTGAAAAGGCCATTTCAGAACCCAACTTCTCTGTGGCCTATGCCAACATGTGTCGCTGCCTCATGGCGGTGAGTTTCCACTGTTTTCTCAGTCTTGTGGTCTGGCCTCCTACTCCGTGGTCTGGCCTCCCACTCCGTACTCCGTAAGTCCATCTTTTTGGTTCTCCTACAAGAGGAGGCAGAGCCAGGGCTGGAGCTCTTCCTGGGTTAGGTAGTTAAAGACTCGGGGTGGGGGGGGTGTCTTCCTTGCTCTGGACAATACGACTGTGATACTCTATTTTGATTCACAGCTGAAAGTGCCCACTACAGAGAAGCCAACAGTGACTGTAAACTTTCGAAAACTGTTGTTGAATCGATGTCAGAAGGAGTTTGAAAAAGACAAAGATGATGATGAGGTTTTTGAGAAGAAGCAAAAAGAGATGGATGAAGCTGCTACGGTGAGAGAAAACCCACCAGCTCTCCTGCTCATCCAGATGCTTCTTAGCTGTAGGATTGGGCGTGTTGATTGGTGATGGGGGATTCTCCGCCTAAGGACATGAGTGCTTGTTGCTGGGTATAGAAATCCAGATAGTGGAGGAAGGGGGTTTTAGCCTTTGGACTGGGTTTCTTTTTGATGCCATCCCCATCCCATGACTGCCAGGCAGAAGAACGGGGACGCTTGAAGGAAGAGCTGGAAGAGGCTCGAGACATAGCCCGGCGGCGCTCTTTAGGGAATATCAAGTTCATTGGGGAGTTGTTTAAGCTGAAGATGTTAACAGAGGCAATAATGCACGATTGCGTAGTTAAACTACTTAAGAATCATGATGAAGAGTCCCTTGAGTGCCTGTGCCGTCTGCTCACCACCATTGGCAAAGATCTGGACTTTGAAAAAGCCAAGGTAGGGGTCCCGGGATGTGGAGGGGGACAGGCTGAAGTACGTGGGGCCTGCTGTCCACTGACAAGCTCCCTCTTGGGCTCTCATGTCTGGGCCACTGAACCACAGTGTTGGAGCCGAGGGCTTGCAGCTGGAGGAGAGGAATTGGAAGTTCCTGGCTTGATCCCTTTGCTTCTCCTTAGCCCCGAATGGATCAGTATTTCAACCAGATGGAAAAAATAATTAAGGAAAAGAAGACTTCATCCCGAATCCGCTTTATGCTGCAAGATGTGCTGGATCTGCGACGGGTGTGTGTCACCCCTTTCCCCTGTTAGTCAGTTGCCTGAGTCCACAGTCCCAGGCAATTGCTTTGTCTGGCCTTTCTGGTGTAATTATTTTGTGACTGGCTTCATGTCCCCACAGAGCAATTGGGTGCCACGCCGAGGGGATCAGGGTCCCAAGACCATTGACCAGATCCACAAGGAAGCGGAGCTGGAGGAGCATCGAGAGCACATAAAAGTGCAGCAGCTAATGGCCAAGGGCAGCGACAAACGTCGGGGTGGCCCTCCAGGTCCACCTATCAGTGAGTTTGAGGCTAGAGTTGAGGAGGGGGCAATATGAGGGATTGTGCTTTCCACTGATGACTTCTTGTTAGTGCCACGTGTCTGGGCCACTGAGACCCCATGATGGAACTGAGGACCTGAGGAAGCGAGGCTGGGGCCAGCCCAAGGGGACAGGGCTGTTAGGCTTTGCTCACTATTTTAGTATGCTCTCTTTTTTTTTTCTGTCCCAGGCCGTGGCCTTCCACTTGTAGATGATGGTGGCTGGAACACAGTCCCCATCAGCAAGGGCAGCCGCCCTATTGACACCTCACGACTCACCAAGATCACGAAGGTAGGGGTGTGTGTATTAGAGGGGGCGATGTTAGTAATAGGAGGGTAAAGAGGGATCAGAGTTGGCATTAAACACAGTTTGGGTCTTAGCCCCCTCATTCTCTGACAGCTGAAATTTTCTTCTTAGATTAACTGCTTAGATTACTGGAAACAGGGCCACCAGCCCTAGGGTGTAGGATCCCATTGGTGTGGGCCATTCTGGTCAGCAAACCGACACGCAAAATTAGATCCATTCCCTGTTTTGTAATCCCCCGGGCTAAGAATGGTTTTTACATTTTTTTAGTGGTTGAAAAAAAGTGAATGCTATTATATGACGTGAAATTACATAAAGTTTACATTTTGGTGTCCATAGTTTTACTGCAGCTCCACTACACTCATTCCTTTTATCCTTTGTGACTGCTTTTGTGTGACAGCAGCAGTGTCGAGTAGCTGGAATAGAAACTGTGGCTGCAAAGCCTAAAATACTTACCGTCTGACCCTTTACGGGAAAAGTGTGCCTCGCCCCTGGTCTAGGCTGTTCGTGGCTATGTGTGGCCGGGGGCTTTGGCCAGATCAGACCCGTGACTCTACACTCCCTTTCCTTCCTCAGCCTGGCTCCATTGATTCTAACAACCAGCTCTTCGCACCTGGAGGGCGATTGAGCTGGGGCAAGGGCAGCAGTGGAGGCTCAGGAGCCAAGCCGTCTGATGCAGGTATGGATGCCACCGTAAAGAGCTGGGTGGTTATTAGTGGGCTCTCTTGAAGGCAGAGCCTTGTCTGTGTGGGAGGCTTTCAGCACAGACTGGTTAGGTAATGCAGGAGCCATGTGCTACTTGGTGGGACTAGGGAACTGAACTGCTTTAGTGTTGGGTGTAGGACCAAGTGTCTTAAACTGGCAGGTAGGTGGTAGTATGTAAGAAAACAGATTTCAATACTCAGTTTTTGTTTTCTCAGCATCAGAAGCTGTTCGTCCAGCTACTAGTACCTTGAATCGCTTCTCAGCCCTTCAACAAGCAGTACCTACAGAAAGCACAGAAAACAGACGTGTGGCTCAGAGGTGAGGTTTCTCAGGTGTCTTCATTTCCCACAAATACCAGCAATACTCAGGCCCTGGCTGAGATTGGGACATATACCTGATGCCAAGAACAAGGCCTGATGGTTGCTCAGCATGTTGCGGGACTAAGGAAGAGAGCGCCTGGGCAGCACAGGTGAGAGACTATGAGCCTGTCTTCCTTTAGGAGTAGCTTGAGCCGGGAACGAGGTGAGAAAGCTGGGGACCGAGGAGACCGCCTAGAGCGGAGTGAACGGGGAGGTGATCGTGGTGACCGGCTTGATCGATCTCGGACACCTGCCACCAAGCGCAGCTTCAGCAAAGAAATGGAGGAGCGGAGTAGAGAGCGGCCCTCCCAGCCTGAGGGACTGCGCAAGGCAGCCAGCCTGTCTGAGGATCGGGACCGTGGGCGGGATGCTGGTAAGGGGCCAAAGAGAGGAAGGGGAGGGGGTGGCGTGGCCTGGTTTGACACTAGCCAGTCCTTAGGTAGCATTCAGAGCGTCGATGTTTGCTGGAGAGACCGGAACTAAAGAGTTCATGATTTGTTCCGTCCCCCTCAGTGAAGCGGGAAGCCACCCTGCCTCCTGTGAGTCCCCCGAAGGCTGCACTCTCAGAGGAGGAGCTGGAGAAGAAATCCAAGGCCATCATTGAGGAATACCTCCATCTCAATGACATGAAGGTTGGTGGCAGGAGGTCTGAGGGCGGGCCCGTGTCAGTGGCTGTGTCATGTAGGGTCTGGGCCAGACGCTGACTGCTCTCCTCCTGTACCTGGGCATCCTGCAGGAGGCAGTGCAGTGTGTGCAGGAGCTGGCCTCGCCAGCCCTGCTCTTCATCTTTGTACGGCACGGTGTCGAGTCCACACTGGAGCGCAGTGCCATTGCTCGAGAGCACATGGGACAGCTGCTGCACCGGCTACTCTCTGCCGGGCACCTCTCCACTGCGCAGTACTACCAAGGGTATGACCGACCTCTTCGACCCTCCCGCGTTTACAGACCTGCACCCTTCCTTTCTGTGCAGGACCCGTGGACCTCGGGGAAGAATGTAGGCTCCTCAGCTATCCTGGTCAACATTATTTTTGGCAGGGATGGGGGTGGTGAGCCATCTAAGGATAAGAGGGTGTCCTTAGCTTGAGATAATTGCCCGTGTTGAGGAAATGTTCCTGATGGGCTCTGCGGCTGATCCTTTTAGTCATGCCTGGTTGCCCCAGAAGGAGGTAAGGCTCCTGTTTCCTAGAATGCCCTGACTTTGAATTCCTTTTTGCAGGCTGTATGAAATCCTAGAATTGGCTGAAGACATGGAAATTGACATCCCCCACGTGTGGCTCTACCTGGCAGAACTAGTAACGCCCATTTTGCAGGATGGTGGAGTACCCATGGGGGAGCTGTTTAGGTGAGCTCCCTTTGGTAGAATTCAGGAGAGGTAAAGACAAGAAGAAAGGGAGTGGCAGGTTAAAATGCCTGGGTTTAGGGAGGGGTAGGGTAGTGTGTGTGGGGCTTTGGAGAGATTGTCAACACTGGAGTTTTCTTATAGGGAGATTACAAAACCTCTGAGGCCCCTGGGCAAAGCTGCTTCCCTGTTGCTGGAGATCCTGAGGCTCCTATGCAAAAGCATGGTGAGTGAGAACCCTTTGGGGAGGTGATGTGTTCAGGATTTCGCTTTCCACTGTGCGTTTTGACTACCTGTGACACAAGCCTCATGGTCCCTTGGCGGGATGGGGTTAATGGGGGTGGGTGGTAGTGCCTGTGCTAGTGTCTGAGAGGCCGGCACTCCCTCAGACCAGGTCCTCTGGTGAGTTCCGGCCAGTGCTGGAGAACGGGAATCTAGAACCCTGACCCTTGATTGATTGCTTGATTCTTTTTTGTGCATTCAACTAATGCTTTTAAAAAAACAAACAAATAAGCATCTACTAAATACCAGGCATTGGTAATACAGCAAGTGAATGAAACAGGAAACAAGCAAGAGGAAAAAATAAGAATGACAGCTTAACACAAACAACAATGAAGTAAAGTATGAAATAAACTGGTTGAATTTGAGGTTTTTAAGTATGATGAGGTTGCAAAGGAGTGTCTGTTTGACAAGTTCATGACAGTGGGCCTCCCTGGAATGGTGCTGAAACTGCCTGGTGAAAGTTAATTGGTGATTAGCAGGTGGAAAGATGGGAAAGGCAAGTCGGGTGTGGTGCTTAGTGGTAGTGAGAAGTTGGGAGGTGCAGTTCTGGAACCGAGTTCAGCTACCTGGGACACAGAGGAGTGAGACTTTATATTTATTTATTTTACGAAGGAGTGAGACTTCCTTTTATTTATTTATTTTAAAAGTTTTTATTTCTTTTCAGAGAGGGGGGAGGAAGGGAGGAAGAGGGAGAGAGACATTAAGGTGTGAGAACAACATTGATTGGTTGCCTCTCACACCCTCAACTGGGGACCTGGCCTGGAACCCAGGGATGTGTCCTGACTGGGAATCGAATTAGCGACCTTTTGGTTCACAGACCAGTGCTCGTTCCACTAAGCCACACCAGCCAGGGGAAATATTAATCCTTTTAGGTAAAAATATGTACCAGGATAATTTGTTTGGAAAAAAAAGAGAGGAAAAAGTGTATTGAATTACTTAACGTATTTTCACTGACTCTAAGGTGCCATAGGTTATAGGACATTTATGCTCTGCTAGGGAAAAAAAGACTTATAACCATGTTTTTAAAATGCAGTTTATTAACTGAGACAGCTTCATTTTAATGGTGTTAAAATGGGCATCTTTAAAATCCTTGAACTACACAGGAATCTTAAGGGTTGATGTCATCATTTTACATACCTGTTATTATAAAAGTCTTGCCTTCAGAAACTCCTGCCTTTTACAGAAAATGGGCTCATCCTGCTGTTTGTGTGAAGATTCTGATTTGCATTGGGGGTGGGTGGTTATGTATGCTTCTAAAATTTTCTGGACTTGGGACTCAAATGAACATACTTGTTAATTGTCCTCTCCCATAAGTATTCGTTACTTGGAATAATGAAAAACTACACTATTTTAGAAAAAACGTAGATGAGTGTGGAAGGCTGGGGTGAGATATTTATTTGGATTTGGTTGTTTACTTTTTGTGGTCCAGTAATTCTTTGAGAATTCTGTGAAAAGTAATTGACATTTTTACTAGAGGCTCTTAGGCCAGCCCCCCAGCCTTCAGTATCAGTGGACAAGTTCTTGTATCTGTGACTGAGGTCTGTGCCCAGTAGGAGACAGTAAGCATGGAGGGACTGTGCCTATTTGGTACCTCTATAGCATCCTGAGCCTATAGCAGGCACCTAGTAAGTAGCCTTTCAGTAAATATTTGATGGGTGCCATTTGTAGTGTTGTTAAATTTTGGGGGAGATGGAGGGTTGCTGAGTTGGTCTTGTGTGTTCCAGGGTCCCAAAAAGGTGGGGGTGCTGTGGCGAGAGGCTGGGCTCAGTTGGAAAGAATTTCTACCAGAAGGCCAGGATGCTGGTGCTTTCGTCACTGAACAGGTTTGTGCTGGAGTTAAGATAACTCCATTTGGGGCTGGCATGGTGCATTTACCTACCTCTTGACTGGGGGCCAATTTGGTTGCAGAAGGTGGAGTATACCCTGGTAGAGGAATCAGAAGCCCCTGGCCAGAGGTTGCTATCCCCCGAGGAGCTGAGCAGACAGCTGGAGAAGCTGCTCAAGGAGGGCAGCAGTAACCAGCAGGTGTTTGACTGGATAGAGGTATGTTTCTCTTGATATTGGGAGAGCAGGATAAAGGAGAAGTCATCCTTGGTGTGGTGAGGGGCGGGGCACAAAACTCAGAGTTTATGGGCCATGTGTTTCTCTTTCTCCTGCATAGGCCAACCTGTCTGAACAGCAGGTAGCATCCAACACATTAGTTCGAGCCCTCATGAAAAGTGTCTGCTATTCCGCAATTATCTGTAAGAGGAGCCAGGGAGATGGTGGGGCAAGGGTGGGCCCAATAGACAAATGGGGGGGGGGAGGTTTTGGTTGTTGCCTCCTAGTTCTCAACCAGGATGACGGTGCATCATCCCACTTACCCCTGTCTTCCTTCCTGTAGTTGAGACTCCCCTCCGAGTGGATGTTGAGGTGCTGAAAGCGCGAGCGAAACTGCTACAGAAATATCTGTGTGATGAGCAGAAGGAGCTGCAGGCACTCTATGCCCTCCAGGCCCTTGTAGTGACCTTAGAACAGCCCCCTCGTAAGAGCCAAGCTGGAGGGTTGCGGGTGGGGTGAAAGAACTTTCAGATAGTGGGGACAGTTTTGGAAAGGGTTTCAACCCAAGAAAAGTGGGTGGTCGTTGGAGAGCAAATGCTCTGATGGTTGATGCCTTCCCCCCTTGCAGTGTTTGTTTCCTTGCCTACATATGGGAGGAATTAGACTTGGCCTTGAAGTTTGGCCACCTGTTTTGGGCTTAGCCAACTGTTAGATGCCAGCAGTGCAGAACTGATAAATGGTGTTTCTCTCTGCCTGGTACTGGGCTGGGATGCTTTTCTTGCCCCATTTAATCCTCACAACTATTATTTAGAATAGATGGTGTTATCCTCTTCTGTATTTTGGGAGACTGAGGGCTAACTTGCCTGAGGTTATACATTCTGCTAACAGGTATGTCTTAGAGCCCTGGGATATTAGCAGGGAGTAAGACAAGCACAGCCCCCATGCTGGCCTGGGGTCTGTCACAAATGATGAGTGTGGGGAGATGGGTCCTGCAGAGTGCTCTTTGGGGGAGTGCACCTAGGCTAAGGGGTCGTGAGTGGGAATTGACAGGTGGGACCTAAGTAACAGATGGGGGACACTTGGAACAAAGGAGCTGTGTGTAGAGGAATGCTGTGAGGTAGGAAGAACTGGACAGGGTGAAAGCGTTGCTGAAGGAAGACCGTCGAGGGAGAGCACAGAAACCAGTCGTGTGAGGCAAAACGGGGCTGGAGAGAGACATGGGCCTGGTCACATAGGGCTGTGTGAGCCATGGGCTGGGTTTGGGGCTTTAACCTAAGGACAGGGAGAGGCTCTGGTGGGATTTTAAACAAGGAATTAAAAGATTCTAATTCAGTTTTTAAACCATTCTGGTCATTAGGGGAAGAGTGGTCATTAGGTTTGTTAGGGGTGGGGGCGAATGTGGTAGAATCAGCTGACCAGGAGTGTGTTGACAGTGGCCCAGCCTGGCTGGCAGCAGTGAAGATGGGAGGGGGATGGGCAGATGGAGGATAGGTTTGGGGAGAGAGTGATGAGAGATCTGAAGTCCTGTGATTTCCAGCTTGTTTGTGTGTGTGTGTGTTTTAAGGTTTTATTCATTTCTCTTCAGAGGGGAAGGGAAGGAGGGAGGGAGAGAAATATCAATGTATGGTTGTCTCTCATGTGTCCCTTACTGGGAACTGGACTGCGACCTAGGCATGTGCCCTGACTGGGAATTAAACTGCGATCCCTTAGTTTGCAGGCCCGCGCTCAATCCTATGAGCTACACCAGCCAGGGCTCCCAGTGTGGTTTTCAGTAGGCGAGGTGGTAGTGTGGTGCCATCCACTGGATCAGGTTGGATTTGGTTGTGTTGAGTTTGTGATTTGTGGGTGGGCCTGATCAGAGATGTTGGCAGACCGCTAGGTATCTGAATTCATTTGGAGAGTGAACTCATTTGGAGGGCTGGAGGTCCACCTGCGTGTTGCTAGCACAGGGCCACAACGTGCAAATCACAAGGAAGTACGGGATTGCCTGAGCGAGAGTGACGAGGGTCTGAGTAGAACCTTTAGGTGAAGGACCTATAGCAGGGGTGTCAGGCTCATTTCCACCCGGGGCCGCATCAGCCTTGCGGTTACCTTCAAAGGACTGAATGTATTATTAGGACTGTATAAATGTAACTACTCCCTAACGGTTAAGCAAGAGCTCGGTGCTGTCCCCGGGTAGAAACAAGGTGGGGGGCCAGATTTGGCCGAGGGCCTTGTGTGCTGCAGGTATGGACCAAAGGAGGACAGGGCTCTGTGAACAAAGAGCAGTAATTTTAGGAAAGGGAAGTGGTCTAAGTAATGCTAGATGTTGCTTGAGAGCTCCATGGGAGGAGATCTGAAAATGAAGGGCTTCTGCAGTATAAAAACATGGAGGCCACCCTGGCAGAAGCATAATTTGGGTGGACAGGGGGCCAGGATCTTGATTAGAAAGAACTAATACTTGCCTGAGACAAAAAAGAAAAAACTGCAAAGGTAGACAAAAATCTTTGAATAAATCTCCAGTCAAAAGATAATTTTTTCTTTGGTTACAAGAGATACTGGTTGTAAAGGAGGCCCTTGGTGTTGAGATGAGAGACACTTGGGCTTGAAAATACAGGGCAGTGTGGATCGTTGATTGTGCAGGGTCCCCAGAGTGGGTGGGCCTAGCGTTTGGAGGACAGGTTTGGGATGGGTGATGTATTGCTGCCTGTGCTGTGGGATGGGGTGGGAAGCTGTCCACGGGCAAGGGGTTGTAGACTGGGGGTGGGTGCCCCTAGGAACATTCTGGCTTGTAGTTTCTCCTAGATGGCTCCGAGTTTCACAAATGGATAGGGCTCTAGATCCTGTGCTTTAGTCATTGTTTTATTCAGGAGAAACGTATTCATTATTCAGTCTCCATTCGCTTTTAGGAATGGTAAAGTCTGCTTTGGAAAGGAAGCACAGTGTGGGGAAGGAAGTAGGTTGTGTTCAGGGTTAGAGGCCAAGTGCTTGGGAAGGCCGAGGCTGATGGGGAAGAGAGGGTCAGCCAGGGCTGCTTGAGTTGAGTCGAAAGGAGTCCACTAGGAAGGGGACAAGAGAACGGATGTTCCTAGCAAAAGCTTTAGCACAGGTAAAAGTGTCAAGTCCAGAGAGGCTGTGTGTTGAGGAGATAGATGGAAAGTAAGAAATTGGGATCGAGAATTTGTCAGGGTCCGTAGTGGGGGGCCGGTGGGTGTGCCAGGTTATCCTCTTGACTTGTGTGACTCCCCAAATTGAGGAGTACCAGTTTTATATATAGTTTTCCCCATTAAATATATCATCAATGAGGAAACTGGAAGTTGCTGAGGTGAGTGAGGCTAGGCCCGTTTGTATGGTTAGGCCAAGTGACTCATTCCTGCACACCAATCTCTTAGGTTGTGAGATTAGCATCTTGTCGAAGACTTAGTGACCCTGAAATGGTCAAACAGGGTGTCTGGATGGTGGGTCAAGGGCCTTGTTTTAACAGGACAGCGTAGGAGGGATCCTGGGGGGTAGGATGGGGTGGCTGTGGGCAGCACACCTCTGAACTCTGTCCTGCCTGCTTGCAGACCTGCTTGGGATGTTCTTCGATGCGCTGTACGATGAGGACGTGGTGAAGGAGGACGCTTTCTACAGCTGGGAGAGTAGCAAGGACCCCACTGAGCAACAGGGCAAGGGTGTAGCCCTTAAATCTGTCACAGGCTTCTTCAAGTGGCTTCGCCAGGAGGAGGAGGAGTCTGACCACAACTGAGGGCGGGTGGGGCCGGGGACTCGGAACCCGGTGGACACTCGGATGGCCCAGCCAGCCGCCCGGACTGCAGGGGGTTCAGCAGCGGCGGTGGTGGCGGCATTGGGTGCCTGTAGTGCGATTGTCAGAGCTAATAAAGTGGCTGAAGAGGCAGGATGGCTTGGGCCCCCTCCAGGATGCTGCCAGGTGTCCCTTCCTCCCCCTGGGGCACAGAGATATATTATATATAAAGTCTTGAAATTTGGTGTGTCTTGGGGGGGGGGCACCACTGCCTGCCCCTGGGGTCCTTTTTTATTTTCCGAAAAATCACTCTTGGGACTGCCGTCCTCGCTGCTGGGGGCATATGCCCCAGCCCCTGCACCACCCCTGCTGCTGCCTGGGCAGGGGGAAGGGGGGGCACGGTGCCTGTAATTATTAAACATGAATTCAATTAAATTTACTGTCTCTGCTCTCTGGCCTTCTGGAGAAGGTACGCATCGGTGGGCAGCCCCATTGAGAGCTGGTGCCTCTCTTGTATCCCCTGTTGATTGCAGGAGCCGGGAGTCATTTGGAGGGTTTGGTCTTCAAAGTGGACGGTGGTTGGGTGTCCTGTTGATTAGGAGGGGGGCAGGGAGACAAATAACTGTGGGCTACTTAGGTGTTTGGTTTCTCCTATCAGTGTGAGTGAAACCTGCTTTCATGGAGGTCCTGGGACAGCCAGGGAAAGTCCCTCACGGATACAAGGTCTCATGTATAAAATGGGGTAGGATTTAAAGAGATCTTTTGCCCCATACAGTGTTATTGGCAAACCTGGGCGCACTGAGTGTCTGCCTGTCGCCTTCCCTTCTCCGTTTCTAATCACTTTAAGTGGTTCTGCAGCTGGGCCTGGGAGAGCACAGGGCAAGCTTTTTCAGTAGTCGGCCTGTGGCCGCCACTGCGTGGCCTTGACGCCCGCTCGGCCCCGCCTGCTTTGGGTGGTGACGCGATGGCCACGCCCCCGCACTGGCGTCACCGGCCCGGTTCCCTCTCTCGGGAGCGGCGGCGGACGCGGCTCCCACCCCCTCCCCTACCGGGTTCTCCCCTCCCCGGTGGCAGCCGCGGCTCGACCCTCGGTAAGCCGATGGCCCGGGGCCCGAGCGCAGGCTAGCGTGCCTGAGTGCCTGGCCATGGGCTGTGTTGGCTCTCGGAGCCCGGCGGTTCAGGGTAAGAGCCAGAGGCCGGGCACGGGCTGGGAAGTCGGGCTGCGGGTGCACCGGCTGCGGGTGGGTGGGGGCCTTGAGGAAGGGGCCAATGTCGGATGGGAGGAGCCTGCACCGGGGAGGCGGGCCAGGCAAGAGGAGGGAGCTGGCTGGAGCGGGGAGGGGGCTAAACTGACTGGAGCTCCGTTCTGTGGCCTCCCTGCTTCTGGGGCTCTGCAGGGTGGACTCATGTCTTTCTGCCTGCATTCCCACTGCTGAGGGTGACAGGAGGTGCTTGGCCTGGGGAAGGGCTAATCGACCCTCTCCAGCCCATGGTGACTGGCCTTGTCCACCCACGTACACTCACCCTGCTCTGCCTGCACCTTTTCTTGCAGCCCTGGGGGGGTGTCTCTAGACTGGGAACCTGCCTTCCCCAGCTGTGTCCCAACCCGTTTAAGCCTGCAAATGCTGGCCAAGTACTCTATCAAGGAGTTTTTAATTAAATCTTACTCCCCACTTCAGCGTCAGATGGACTCGGGCCTCACTTTGGGCACCTGTGAGCAGCTGATTACCTCTCACAACTCTTTTAGTTTCCTTCCCCCACTCTCAACAACAAAACATCACCCTACCCTGTGGAGGGAAACAGGAGCCCAGAGAGAGGCAGGCCATCGGGTCTTCTTTCCTACAACTGCTGACCCTTGCTTGGGCCTTGGTTCCCATGGATGGTGCATGCTGGGGCCTGGTTTTAGTCCTGTGCATCTGAGGTTGGCCAGCCTACTTTACTCCAGTGTCATGGATTTCTCCAAGCCTAAGGCCAGGTAGGAACTTACGATGTTGAGGGCTAGGTTTTGAGTGGGTTCTGGGCTTCAGGGCAGGTGGTCAGTCACACAGGCCTTAGTGTGGTTGGTACTTGAGGTTCTTTGGAACTAAGACTCTGAGATTACTGTTTTCCTTGGGTTCCCTGAGGAATTCTGGGATTTGTAGTCCTACATTAACCTCATTGGCTTTTGAAACTGAGAAACAGGAGGCTGCTTTGATCTCCTTTGGCCCTGTAAGGCTTGGAGTTCAGGAATTCATTCCCTCCTATAGTCAGGGGAGAGTTTGGCTGACCTCAGGATTGGCATCGAGAACCCTGATTAGGTACCAGCTGGGGCCAGGGATGGCCTGTAACCTTGTGTCTTCCTTCTGGTTGGTAGCATTTCTGGGGACCACCAGCAGGCTGAGGCTCAGGAAGAGAGACGGCTGCTCCAGCTAAAGGTCAGTTGTGATATACATCGCCTGTTGGCACTGTCTAGGGAACAAGCCTCAGCTTGCTGAGCTCCACAGAGCTTGGCTGGGCCCCTGGCACTCCCACCTCCTCAAAGCCACGAGGCAGGAGCATTCTCCTTATGTGACTAGGAACAGGTTCCAAGCGGGGAGGGGACTGGCTCAGCATCCGGAACCAAAATAGGAATAGAACTGGGAGCTGAGCCTGGAGCAGTTCTGGGCTTTTGGTTCTCTGCATCAACACAGCCAGCATGCCTATGATTTCTGTGCTGGGAAAAATGTTCCTGTGGCAGCGTGAAGGGCCTGGAGGACGATGGACTTGTCAGACAAGTCGCAGAGGTGAGACAAGAGACCGTAGATATAGTCTGGGAGGTGATGGGAAGCTGAGGAGTAGGATGCTCAGGTGGCAAGAGAAAAATTACTTTGGCTTAGACATTGGGAACCAGGCTGGGGCCAGGCAGAGGACATCAGGAAACAGCCTTAGGGAACTGGGGCGAAAGAAAAAGCATCAGTTTGTCAGAGAAGAAGAGTAAAGAACTGCATACTGTCTGAGTCTGGCAAGAAACAAGAACCAAGAGAAGGAAGGCAGCAAGCCTGCAAAGGGTCCAACATGGTGGTGGGGAGGGGGGTGGTGATGGCGGTGGAAGAATGAGGTGTGCTTTCCAAGAAGAATGGGTGGGTCTAGAAGCGGGAGAAGATTCGGAATTTACCAAAGTTTAGGTGTCATCTGGAAGGTATTGGTGGCAAAATATATTCAGTGGAGGAAGGTGGCCAGTGGCTGCCACAGAACAGCCCCAGGAGCCTAAAGGTTAGGGGCAGTGGGATGCAGTGGGATGGGAGCTTTCAGAGTTGTGAGAGCACCAGGTGGTTGCTGATGTTCTGTGAGGTGGGGGAGGGGTTGAGGAGGAACGATATGGCAACACTGGATGAAGAAGGAGGGGGATCTTTGCAGAAGTGGGAATCCAGCTGAACAGCCTTTCCCCCACCTCTCAGTGGCCTCGGACCCCGCGTGGGCTGTGGAGTGGATCGAACTTCCTCGGGGCCTCTCTCTGTCTTCCTTGGGATCCGCTAGGACCCTCCGAGGCTGGAGCCGGTCCTCTCGCCCTTCCTCCGTGGACAGCCAGGACTTGCCAGAGGTGCTGGGCCCTGGTGTTGGTAGGGGGAAGGGGGAACCGCATCCACATGAAGGGGATCTGTATCCCCCACCCCCGCCTTGCCAGCCTGTTTCTGGCTCCCTTTGCCTGCGAGCGGAGGCGCTATCCGGCCGGCAGTGAGGCCGCCCCCGCCGGTCTGTTCTGCTCGGCGCATCGCCAGCGCCGGGAGGGCTGCTTGCGCCTTTGGTGCTGACGTCAGCGCATCCCGGGCCATATCCCGGGAGACCCTGTTGCATGGTGATGGGTTGCCAGGGAAACATACACCTTTTCTCTGGGCCAGGGCCGCAGCTGCGCGGAGTGCTGGCACGGATGGCGGCGGCCAGGGGGAGTGAGGGGAGGGAGGGAGAGCGAGCCAGGAAACACCCAGCAGGTGCTCCTCCTTCCACACCCGGCAAGAGGCTACTGGCGCCACCCTGGGGGCCCTGTCAACCAGGTACCAAAGGGGAGAGACAGGGAGTGGGCCTGAGGTCGAGCGAGGGGCAAGTGGAGCCTCTCTTGTGAAGGGTGGGAACTGATGGAGTGGAGCTAGGTAATGCTGGGGAGGACACCTGGACCTCTGACTTAATTCATTCGTTGAGGCAAACATTTGCCTGGGCTTGCCAAGGAGCACAGAACAAGGTGCGGGGTGGAGGTGGGAACCCAGAGGAAGCAGACTCAGGCCATGCTATCCCGAGACCCTTCAGGAGTGATGCAAGGGTAATGCTGGGGTTGGGTGGGTTTGAAGAAGATACCGAGAAAACTGTGGGCTGAAAACACAATAGGAGGTGGCACTTGAGTCAGACCTTACATGTTAGGGGGCTTTTTTGTCAGGCAAAGATGGCTTTCTTAGTGCAGGGAAAAGCAGGGTTCCTTTGCCTAGAGGAAGGCAGGAGGGCTGCTTGTTGACAAGGAAAGTGGAGAAGTGGGGTTTTACTGGGCAGAGGAGGTCAGTAGTGGATTGCAAGCAGGCCTGGAAGGAGGCCGGGCTGCACAGAGTTCTTCAGGGCCGGGCTCTTAGCTTGCCCTTCATTGGACAGTAGAGGAGCCCAGAAAAGATTTATTTTATTTAAAAAAATTTTTAAAGATTTTATTTATTTATCTTTAGAGGGGAAGGGGAGGAGAGAGGGAGAGAAATATCAGTGTATGGTTGCCTCTTGTGTGTCCCCTGCTGGGAACTGGCCTGTTACCCAGGCATGTGCCCTGACTGGGAATCGAACTGTGATCCTTCGGTTTGCAGGCCCGTGTTCAATCCACTGAGCTACACCAGCCAGGGCTAGAAAAGATTTTAAATAAGGGCATGTGTGACCAGCTACACTCTAGGAAAATTGTTTACATTTGTACCTTGCCTTGCTCATTTGAGAGATCACTGTGTACCAGGCACAGAGCAAAGGTGTGCAGCAGTGACCAAAAGAGACTGAATTTCTGAAAGAGCTTAAGACCAGTGAGGGAGACGAACAAGAAATAAGGAAACACACAAAATAGACCATAATCACATACATGGGGAATGTTGATAGAGGGGTGTAACTTGTGACGGACTACAGAGGGAGGGTCAACAGTTGGCAGGTGGCCAGGAAGGCTTTTCTGAGGGAGTGATATTTCAGCCAAGACCCAAAAGATGAGAAAGCACCAGCCAGACATGGAAAGGGGGAAGGGGAACACTTACACAACACATTAGGCTGACAAATAGCACCGAGTCAGAGGAGCTTGGGGGACCACCAGTGTGCTCATCTGAGCAAGGGGCGCTGAGAGCTTGAGGAAGGGCTGTGGCAAAAGATGAGGGTAGTATCAGAGGCAATTTGGAGAGTCATCATTACATCTTAACAGGTACAGAGAAGGAAGGCTCACAGAACTGATGGTAATGCTGAGGTTTAGAGCCAGGCTGAATGGGAGAATGGTGGGGTGATGCAAAGTAGGGAAGTCTGGATGCAGAGCCAGACGTGGGGAGAAGGTGTTGGCTTTGTTTTGGTCATGCTGAGTTCGTGGCCCTGGTAGGCTCTACAAATAGTACGTGGGTCTGAAGACTGAAAGGAGGAGAGGGGCAAAAGGAAGGGAACCTGGATGCTATATCCTTCTCCCTTCCTCTTTCCTCGAAGACCCTCCATGGTTCTTCCTGACCTGCCTTCTTCCCCTCTAGGAGCTGGGAATGTGGAGGGTTAGCTGTAGTTCTGTTGGTTTGGGCCTGCCCATGTCTCTGTTGCTCCCTGGAAGGACATAGTTTGCTGGTCCTGGCTTCTAACCCTCTTGCATATCCCAGCAGCCAGTGGGACACATGCGTTGCCCCGGCATCTCTTCCCAGCTCCTGTATCCCCTTGATGCCTTGGGTGGGGGTTGGACAGGTGCGAGGACACTGCTGTCAGAGGAGCACTCACCCTCTGATACTATCACCCAAGGTGAATGTTGGAGACACAGTCGCGATGCTGCCCAAGTCCCGGAGAGCCCTAACTATCCAGGAGATTGCTGCACTGGCCAGATCATCCCTGCATGGTATGCATCTCCCTCCCATGCCCCAGGTTATTTGCCCTTTCTTCTCCCTTTTGTACATGTCCTTAAGGATTATTTCCTGTGAGCTCCTGCTGCTCTCTCCCTTTTCTTCTCCTTCTCAGGTGAATCCCAGCCCCCACCTTCCCCACAAGGCACATGTGGACCTTCATTACCATCACCCTTCAACTCCCTTCCCAAATGCTCCCTGACCCATGCTCTTACCAAGTTTTCTGACTCTGCCACACCTGTAGGTATTTCCCAGGTGGTGAAGGACCACGTGACCAAGCCTACTGCCATGGCCCAGGGTCGTGTGGCTCACCTCATTGAATGGAAGGGCTGGAGCAAGCCAAGTGACTCGCCTGCTGCCTTGGAATCGGCGTTTTCCTCCTATTCGGATCTCAGTGAGGGTGAACAAGAGGCTCGCTTTGCAGCAGGTGAGTGACAGAAAGAGGATCAGCCCCACTTTTGTCATAGGGACGTACTCTCTCATCTCCTTGGACCTGCTGGGCGGGTTGGAGTCCTTCCCGCTCCCTGTGTCTTACCTTTCTTGTTTCCAAGCTGAGCCCTAATCTTAGCTCCCTCTGCTAATGAATTCCATGTCCTCCCCAACAGGAGTGGCTGAGCAATTTGCCATTGCAGAAGCCAAGCTCCGGGCGTGGTCATCAGTGGATGGTGAGGACTCTACTGATGAATCCTATGATGAGGACTTTGTTGGGGGAACTGACTCAGGTGAGGGGACATGTCTTGCTAGTGCTGCCATCTGGGGTGGAACTGTCTGATAGGCCCTCTGATTCAGAGCTCAACCTCTGGAAGGGGAGATCCAGATGTCCTCAGCCTTTGGAAGGAGAGGGAGAGGCAGACTCTGTCCAGGCAGTCCTTGACTTTCCATGGGCAGGAGGGCTGTCCACCCCTGTAGGGGGCCAGTCAGCAGGAGGGAGTGGAGTTTCTCACAGGTGCTGAGCCTTCTCGGCCTGTCTGTGCAGTTGGGCCTTTCAGGCCTCAAAAAAATAAAATGCCCAGAGACCCCACTAGCACCTTCTGTGCAGCCCTGTCTCTGGGAGGGTCCGCTGTGTCTTGTCCCCAGGCTGGCTGCAGCGAGTGCAACAGCACAGCAGCACCTCACGGGGCTGTGGCCTTGGGCAAACAGGAAGCCTGCTGGGCCTGGGCTGCCCACAGGGCTGTTGGCTCCAGCTCAGCATCCTGCTCGCATTCCAGACCTCGGGCCTCTTCACCACTGCTTGCAGAGGGGACCCTGTGGGGCTGTGCAGCTGCGCAAGGCCCTCCTTTCATCTTCCATTCTCAGGACCACGTGGCCGACTTTCTCTGTGGCTTCTGGGCTTAAGCCTCCCAGGCTACCATCCCCCCACCCCTTTGCCTTTGAAGATTGCCTCCCCACCCCCCACCCCTCTAGCTAATTAACAAGTTCTCTGAGGTGGGCAGCACTTCAGAGCAGATTGGAGACTGCTGCTGTGGTCCAGAGGGTACTGATTGGGATGCCTGAGACCAAGATGGACCTGAGCTGCAGTGTTTTATTTAACTGAGTTCCAGGTCTGTTTTGATCCCTGATTTGGTGATAATAACTAACATTTACCCAAGGCCACTGCTAGCTGATGTGGAATTTTTTGTGTAGATTTGAAAAAGGCACTCCTTTCTCTGGTGGGCACAGCCCCATGCCAGGGCCTGCTGCTTGGTGAGCAGGGTGAGGGCTGACTTTCAGCCCCACCCACTGGCTTAGGACAGGCTCCCCTTGTGCAGGGAACAACCTGCATGACCATGCATGGTATCCCTGCATTTACTGCTTTTTTACTGTGTGCCAGATTCTGTTCTCTCAGCAACCCCATAAGGTAGGTATATTAGAATCCCCAATTCACCATTAAGGAAATGAAGCAGAGGTTAAGTGACTTGCCTCAAGTTCCCTGGCTCTTACCCATTGTCCTTAGCACTGTGTCAGGGTAGAATGGGGAGAATGTCGTTTCCAGGGTGGCTGACTGAGATGGGGCTAGCAGGGCTGTCTTCTTTTCTCTCCCTTGACAGACATGGCTGGGCAGCTGCCCCTGGGACCCCACCTTCAGGACCTCTTCAGTGGTCACAGATTTTCTCGGCCTTTGCGCCAGGGCTCTGTGGAGCCCGAGAGCGACTGCTCGCAGACCGTGTCCCCGGACACCCTGTGCTCCAGTCTGTGCAGCCTGGAGGATGGGCTGCTGGGCTCCCCGGCCCGCCTGGCCTCCCAGCTGCTGGGCGAAGAGCTGCTCCTTGCCAAACTGCCCCCCAGCCGGGAAAGTGCCTTCCGCAGCCTGGGCCCACTGGAGGCCCAGGACTCGCTCTACAACTCGCCCCTCACAGAGTCCCGCCTTTCCGCCGCCGAGGAGGAGCCAGCGCCCTGCGAGGACTGCCAGCCACTCTGCCCACCACCAGTGGGCAGCTGGGAACAGCAGCAGCAAGCCTCTGCCGTGGCTTCTTCTGGGGTGGTGTCCTTAGACGAGGATGAGGCAGAACCAGAGGAACAGTGACACAAATCATGCCCGGTGGTGGCATGTGTCCCTTGGCTGCTGCTGGGGGCAGAGCCTCCGTGCCCACGTGTGGGCTTGAGGCTTCCAGCAGAGCTCCAAAGCCTAGAGGGCTCCTTGGAGCACTCACTCCTCATTGTGTGTTTTGCATGAAAGTGTCTAGAGAGGAGGCAGGGACCAGGCTGGGGGCGCATGTCCAGCCCCCACTCCTGGGGTTTGCCGGGGGTTGCCCGGGGCCCCTGGGGCATGGCTACAGCTGTGGCAGAGTGATGTCATGTTCTTAAATCAAAAAATGCCACATATTTCCTCCTCTGAGGGTGTGAACCCCTGAGGGGGCGGTTATGACTGGGCTGTGTGGGGCAGAGTGGGAGGGAGCCTGGACTCCCCCACTCCTCCCTCTGCCTCTCTCCTCTCTGCTTCTCTCCTCACCTCCAAGTCCACGTGCAGTGCTTGATAGAATCACCCCCACCCGGGGAGCCTACAGATTGAGCCGTCCCCCAGGGCCCTTCTCCCAGCTGGGCTCGTGCTGTGCTTCACCTCTCCATTGTCTCTAAATCTTCTTTTTTCTAAAGAAAAAGAGGGGTTTGGTCTGTTCTTTCAGTCGGATCTTCTCTGGGAGGCATTGGAATGATGAAAGCCTGTACCCTCCACCCTTTTCCTGGCCACCCCAAATGGGTCTGGGCCCTTTTCCAGTCCCTCGTTAGATGTGTGGGAAGGGGCCCAGTGGTTCCCAGCCCACCAGGCTGCTGCGTTCATCCAGTTCTCTTCAGGGTGCAGTTCCTGGAAGAGGGGATGGCTCTGGTTGCTAAGAGCTGTGACTTCAGTGTTCTTCCAGGGAGGGCCACCAGGGGGCCACCAGGGTGGCCAGACAATCGTCTGCTGATGCCTGAGCAGGGCAGGAATTGTGCCAACCGGTGACAGTCATGAGGGAGTGCCTCTCCTTGGGGAGGAAAGAGGGTAGTGCCTTTCTTGGCTGAAGGAAGGGCCAAAGCGAGTGCTGGGGGCAGCCAGGGTGCTGACAGCCAAGCAGCGGAGGCCTCCGCAGATCCTGCATTCTATTCTAAGGAAGGCAGGCGTTATAGTTTTATGGCCACAGGGTGTGCGGGGCTACGGATTTCAGGCCTTGTAGGTTTTGGCAGGTAAGAGGGCCCAATGGAAGAACATGAGCTGATGGGCACAGGCATTCTATACATAAGTGGCTCATTAGATGTTTATTTGGTTCTATTTGAGAATTTGTTTTATTAAATTAATATAAAAATCTTTGTAAATCTCTATATACATCTGGTCATTGGAGGTTCCAGTATAAACCCATCTTAGTTCTACCCCTTTGCTCCTCAAAGGGGCAGCAGGGATCAAGCAACCCCACCCCTGTCCTGCCAGGGCAGTGCTGACCTTCCTGCCCTTGAAAGGGACACTTGCCGCAGGTGGGAGCTGGGTCCCATTCCAGGTAGGAAGAACTGGGAGAAGCTGGTGCCCCCAGCCTGGAAGGGGGGCTGGGGCTCTAGCCTTTGGCCATAGCTGCCTCCTGCTTTCCCAAGGTAGGAGGCATAGGAGAGCTTCTGAGGCCGGGCGGACAGCCAAGCCCACCGCCGCCCCAGGCTGCCCACCAAGGAATTCACTGGCACTTGTCGTCACTGTCAGAAGGGCTGCCTTCCCGGGGTAGGCCATGGCGGGAGCGGGGCCCCCAGAGCGCATGCACTTCAGTGGTCTCCGTGTCACTGCTGCTGGTGACACTGTCACGGAAGCTGGCCAGGGGCGGCCGGACTTTCACGCCCTGTGCTGTGATAGAGCCCTCAATAGCCTTCCGGAGCTGGAGAGATGAGAGGTTCAGATGGAGCTTCCTGTTCAGACTCCTCCCCAGCACTTCCCCCAGGTAGGCTAGACAGAAGCCCCCTTTGCCTTTTTGGAAGTGGGAGTGGCTTTGATGGCCACTATCATCTTACCTCCTTTAGAGTGACAATTCCAATGAGTCTGCCAATACTGGTGACATAAGCATGGTCCACTCCCAGCAGTGAGAAGATGGTGTGAGTCTGCAGGGTGGGGAGAGAAAGTTTGGCCTTGATGCACGAGGGCACAGGACAAGCTGTTGAGTTAGGGTGGGGAGAAGGGGCACCACAGACGGTGCGGGTAGGGGAAAGACAACCAGAGGGAAAGGAATATTGAGAAAGAACAATCCTCAGAAACTTGATAGCAGGAATCTTTACGTTGATGGGAAAATGGGTAGAGGGAGGGTTCCTCATCCCGTGTTAGAAGTGTTAGGAGAATGGAGGAGAATACTGTTCACATGTGACACTTAATGAGCACCAGGCACCTGGCTGAGTCTCACACTGGCATTTAATTTCGGCACTGTCCTAAGTATGCCACCCATTGCACAGGACAGGCAGCACGGGGCTCAGTGGTGAAGTGACATTGCTCAGGGTCATCAGTGAGAAGAGGCCCTCTCACTCCGGCCACCTTTCCTACCACTCCAGGAGGAAAGTTCCACGCACCCCCTCAGGGGTGAGACCCCTGCTCTTCTCGCATCACCCTAGTGGCGGACGTGTGCTTCCCCTCTGCCCTCAGCTGTCTGGCCATCCAAGGTGCCCCTTCACCCTGGCTCTGACTGCCCCCACTGGCCAGCAGCCTCCACCTCCCGTATGGTTTGCCTGTTCTGTGGCCCAGAGCAGCCCAGGCCCTTGTGAGATGCAACTTACACTCCAGGAGATCTGCGCCTCCCCCACCCCCCACCTATGTGTTTCCTGCTTTGGGCCCTCCCTCAAGCTTTCAACTGTAATCACCAAGGGTTCAGAAATTGTCAGCTAGTTTCCCTTGTGCTCTAAGTGGATTTTCTCGGGCCAGATGTCTTGAAAAACACTATACTGACTCAGCAGTTCCTGGAATTTCTGGCCTATCATTTATCACACTGTTTTCAGTCTACTTGTAAGCCTCTTGGCTTAATGCTGAAATCAAAATGGGCATTAATATCCCAGCTTCTTGAGTACCAGTTATTCCAAAGTCATTGTGATTGTTTCAACACTTAAAAGTGTTTTCTTATACAGTTGCTGAATTCTTTAGGAAAGAACTTACAGAACTTTCCTAACTTTCTCCTGCCGAGGCGTGATAGTACTTCCAAAAGGAGCTAGAAGTTCAGTTTCAGCCCTAAGCCCTCCTGTGCCCCTCTGGTGCCCGTGTGGTAACTGTCTTGGGTTAGCAAGTCCCTTGAATCCTACACACTGCAAGCTGTCTTTAGTTTCCTCCTCTGATTTCATGGGAAGACATATCTTCATCATTTCCTGTTTTAATAATCACTAGGCCTTGTCTTCTTATGTTTAATAATCCATCTCATCCTCTCTCAAGGATCCTATTAAATCATTCCCCTGGATTTTCTATTCCCCACAGGCCTAATCCCGAGTGAGCTCCTGGCAGGCTGTAGGCCTTTTAGGTCTGCAAACCACCTGTCCTGGGCAGTCACGGAATTTACTGATCTGCTTCCTGTGCATCCTGGCCATTCACCTGACTCCCTCACCATCTTCACCAGGATGGGCTGTAACACCCTGTGGGTTCTGCTTCCTGCCTCCCTTCCAACCACTTGGGCTCTGCCAGCCTATCAGCTTTCTCAAACTTGAGTTAGAGCCCAGACTCCCCAGAATGGTCCATAAGACCCTTTCCAAGCCGGCCCCAGCTTGTCTCTCCAGTGTCTGATTCTACCAGGCACCCCAGTTTACAGCATCATATAATCACCCAACCTCATCGGAAAACATCAATTTCTCACACACCTCCCACATTACATCATCTTTTAAAGTCCCCTCTTCACCTCTAAGTATACCAGTGAGTAGTAGTAATAATTTATGAAATATGTCAAATCCTTACTATGTGCCAGGTACTGTTCTAAGTGGTTCCTGCATATCAACTCCTTTAACCCTCAGAAAACCCTATGATATATGTGCTATGATCCCCATTGTACAGATAAGGAAAATGAAACACCTAGAGGCCAAGACATGTGACAAGGTTACGCAGCTAGCTGACGGGTGGCAGAGTGTGGACTTGGCTCGGGCTCATCTGACCCAGTGCTGGCACTGCAGCCTCCCCCACCCGCTGCCACGCTGTCGGGGGCCTCTGAACGGGTGAGGTGCTGATGCTCCCGTTGCACAGGTTCCTAATAGTCTCCAGTGCATTCCCTTGACTCTCTGTTCCGTTCCTGAACTTAATTGGGCTACTACTTACTGACTCCTCAGGCCTGCAAGGACATTTTGAATTCTAATCTTTAATGTTCTTATCACTTCTAGTCCTTTGTACTTTTGTTAGTCGGTTCCTCAAAGGCTGCTTCTCTTCCTCTGATTTTTAAGTTTCTAACAAATGCATGCTTTGTTCTTTTTCATTTTAATTTAATTAGACACCAGGGAGCTCACTGGAGGGCCTGCGTTTCTTGGGCTTGGGAACAGTGAACTGACAGGGAGAGAGACAGCATGGCCCTCTGAAAGAACACTGGCACTGAGGCCAGGAAATCTGGGCTCTAGGCCTAACTTTGCTATATTGACTTGGGCAAGTGACCTGCTCATTGCCTCAGTCTCCTTGTGTATTAAAATGGCTAAATCCACAGGCTTGGGGTCAATCTTGGCTTCCAGGCCTGGCTGTGCTACATCCTAGCTGTGCGACCTTGGTCAACTAGCTTAATGTCTCTGAGTCTCAAAGTCCTCATCTGTAAGAACTGGAATATCCCACTGTCTCTCTTACAGTGCAGTCATGAGGATTAAATTAAATGCGAACAGCTTAGCTCAGTGCCTGGAATATAGCAGGCATTTAAAAAGTGTCAGGAGTGTCATCATCTTTATTCAATGTTTGAGGGCTAAGTAAGATGATGGAAATGCTTTAGAGGTCTTAGGAAGAAAAGCTTTCTCTCTCTTTTTAAAAGATTTTGTCTCACAGTTATTAACAACCACATCTAAAACAAAAGCAAACTAAAAGGACAGCTAGATCAGGAGTGAACCATAGAAATGAAGATCACGTGGAGGGTTAGCAACAGGGGAGTGGGAGAAGGAGAAGGGGGGAGAAGGTACAGAAAATAAGTAGCATAGACGGTAGGTAGAAAATAGATAGGGGGAGGGTAAGAATAGTAGGGGAAATATAGAATGTAAAGAACTTGAGACACGTGCTCATAAACTAAAGGGGGGAATGATGGGGGAGGGGGTGTGCAGGGTGGAGGGGAATGAAGGGGGAAATAGAACAACTGTAATGGCATAATCAATAAAATAAAAATTAAAAAAAATATTTTGTTTTATTTATTTTTAGAGAAAGGGGAAGGGAGAGAAACATCAATGTGTGGTTATCTCTGATGTACCAGGGACCCAGCCTGCAAACCAGACATGTGCCCTGATTGGGAATCGAACCGGTGACCCTTTAGTTCACAGCCTGGGCTCAATTTACTGAGCTACACCAGCCAGGGCAGGAAGAAGGGCTTTCAATGAAAGCCGAATGTATTATTCTCAGGCCTATCTTTTTATTCTTCTTGCAACTGTACTGCAATTCTCCACTCACTTTGATCCGAGGTCTTTACCCAAGGGTTTATAAGTTGCTTTATTAACTTTTTGGTTTTTTTTTTTTTAAACATTTCTCTTTTGTCTCCTGTCCTTTCTGCCCAGGCCCCTGCTCACCTACACTGAGCTGGCCTTCGGCACAATGTTCGTCCACGCTAGCTGTCCCAGCTGCAGGCCTTGGGAGTGCTCTCCCACTGGCCCCGTCCCCACGCCTCAGAGGTTTGCACATCCAAAGTGACAAGTTAGCCAAAACACCCCTTGGTTTCTGCTCCAGCAGTCTGCTGGTGTGCCTGAGCTCTCTGCCTCCACGTAAAAGCCTGAAGGTGCCCAGGGACACCACTGCCCCCTCCTGGGAAGGCCCCGCCCTCCTCTTATGTCAGCCTTGCCCACTGCCAGTCTGTCTGCAATCAAGTGCTCTCCCCGGTTCTGCAGGCTGGTGTTGCTCTTCCCCTGAACTGCCTTCCCGTGTCCTTACCGGTTTTCCTTGGGCCTACATTAAGTGAGACTTTCTGGGGTCTGACATTCCAAGCCCCCCACTGGGCGTTTCTCATCTTTGTTTATCTCTTTGCAGTGTCCCGACCCCTGCTTGGCTGTTTGTTAGCTTGTTTGTTAGATTTTCTCATCCTGCCTCTTTCTCACCCATTTTTTTCTGTGTGGGTGTATCAGCCTTGTTGGGAGCTGGCAGCTTCCCTCCCAGCTCTGACCCTAGCCTGGCCTTCTGGCCTGCACCCCTCTTGAGCCCTGTCTTT